CCTCTACCATTAGCTTTTGGTCAGGACACCCTCACCATCTCTTCCACATACTTCTCTTCCTCCTTTGTCAACAGCATAACTATCACCATTTTACAGAAGCCCTCCCTTTAGATCCGAAGGAGAGTCACATCAGACCCAAAAAGTTAACTTTGTTTCTCTCTCCGCAGATGCTGCCAGACCTGCTAAATTTCTCCAGCACTTTCTGTGGTTTGTCTCAGATCTCCAAGTCCATTTGGACATATTACAATGTGACCTCAGAATGGACAAAATTTGGAATCCTTTTCAAAAAAAACTTCAGACAAGGAGACACAAAACCACCTTCAGGTGCGTTTACTTTGTCCTAAAATTACTTTCAAGCGTTTTCTCAGAAACTGTCTCCTATACATTCCTGTCAAAACTATTTATTGTGAAATATCTGCTGTTGAAAAAGACAATGGTCAGAACCCAGCTATCCTGCTCATGTACTTAAAACAAATCTGTGTACAGGTATCTTAGTCTAATATAAAATGCATCATCCTCTTACAAGTGTGTTCCATTTTTAAGTTAATAAAAATCAATGAACCTTCCTGGTTTACTAGAGCTTGAAGCTTTGCAATCAAACCGATCACTATATTAAAATGTCATCAATTTCTTCAATGGAATGAAGGAAACGTTAAGACTTCACTAGTAATTTTCTGAAGAAGGGTCTAGACCTGAAATGTCAGCTTTCCTGGTCCTCTGATGCTGCTTGGCCTGCTCTACACCTTGTTATCCTACTTCACTAGTATGATGTGAGAACCCTGGATTTCTTTGTATGCTGGGTCTATTATTTGTACTATCTGAATTTTATACAACAGTGTTTGTTGATCATCTCGATTATACTGAAACACAAAACTACAGAAGACAAATCTTATATCCAGCTGGAACCTAAATTGGACAGTCTCCTCTCTCAGCAACAGTTGCTGAACATTTCCGGTGCTTCCTATTCAGATCATTCGCTTTCTGCATCTTGGAATTTCTCCTAGAAGAGCACAAAGGTAACATCTTCACTGGGGGGCAGTGTTAATAATCACACTATTATTTAGATATTGGAAACCAGGGAGGTTAAGGAAGAGCAATATTGTCGACAGTCTCCTCAATAGTTCACACACAGGGAACAGCAAGGTAGCAATAACAAGGAAACAGTCATAGCAAGCACCTGGTACAAACATCAGTAGAGGTCAGGTTCCCTGCAGTCACAATACAAGGTAACAAGCAACGTCTGATTAACAACACTGTCCAGAAAGGAGACTGAACCCTCAGCTTCTGGACGATTTCTAGAACAAGTATTAGTGCAATGATTAATATTGAATACGTTTTACCAGAAATAAAATATATTCCATGATTTTTAACAGGACAAAATACACGGTAATTTTGTTAGCAAGCACACTTCTTGAGAAACTCTGCCCCCTGCTGTACAAAGGAACAACACAAGCCAGCACACAATGTGATCATAGACACATTATTTTATTGTATTGGGTACTGCTCTCTGTTGTACAGGCGATACATTGAAGAGAGTATTAACTGCCACAATGTTGTCAATCCGCTAGTGCCCTAAAGGACATTTGGAACAAGTGCTAAAACTGTGGAAATAAAAATCTGCAACATCTTAACTTGTATCAAGTTTTAATTCACTTGGAAGTTCGACATGCACTGCTTCATGCTGGCTCCAAGTTAGAGAACAAATTGCTATTAAAATTCCCTTCCTGTAGTTTACCAATACATAGCCGCACACCTCCCCATCTCTGCCATCTCCTGTAACTGCACAACCTCTCCGAAATTTCACCTCCGCTCCCTTGCCAGTCCCTTCATCTGTATGGGGTCTAAGCTGTGGATTTTTCATCTTCAAGCCCTCCAACCCTTTTCAGATGCTCCTTAGTTTGTCCTAATCTCCTTCCTTTTCATTTGTTTAGTACCTTTCCCGCGAACCTAAACGTCCCATGTAATTGCACGTTGTTGTTGGTGCGGTATCTATAAAAACCGTCAATAGATGGTTTATTTGGTTTGAGTTTCCCTGGAGCACAGGAGACTGAGGGGTGACCTTATGGAGGTCTATAAAATCATGAGAGGTATAGATAAGGTAGATAGTCAGCAGCTTTTCCCCAGGGTAGGGGAGTCTAAAACTAGACTGCCTAGGTGAGAGATACAAAAGGGGCCAGAGGGGCAATATTTCACACAGAGGGTGGTGACGGACTGCAATGGGATGCCAGCAGTAGTGGTGGAGGTGAGCACAATTTTGTCACTTAAGAAACATTTGGACAGGTACATGGATGGGATCGGTATGGAGAGATATGGACAAAATGTAGGCAAATGGAACTAGTTTAATTGTGGAAACTGGATGGTATGGGCAAGTTGGGCTGAAGGGCCTATTTCCATGCTGTAAATGTCGGTGACTTTATGAGTGGGCCTGCAGTTGGTTTGTATTTTTCAGCTAGGCTGAATGAAAGGCTTTCTACTGGGTCAGGTTATTGATCAGTTAAGCTATGTTATGTACCCAAGAAGAGACGAAACTGCACAAAACCAGTGCAGGAGATATGATGGGCCAAAAGGCCACAACACTTGTGTTATTCTCTAAACTGTAAGTATTCAATGAGTGCCTCCAGCTTTGCTTAAGACTAAGTAGCATCAAAACCTTTACTCGTTAATGGGATGTAGGCATCACTGGCAAAGCCAGCACTTGTTGCCCATTCCTAATTGTCCTTGAACTGATTGGCTTGCCAGGCCATTGCAAAGAAAAATCAAGAGTCGACTGCGTTGTTGTGGGGTTGGAGTCACATTTAGGCCAGTCCAGGGAAGAACAGCAGATTTCCTTCCCTAAAGGACATCAATGAACCAGATGGATTTTTCCAACAATCAATGGTTACCTTTCAATTCTAGATTGTATTATTTGAGTTTAAATTCCACCAGCTGGCATGGTGTGATTTGAACCAAAATCCCCAAGCATTAGATGGGCCAGTGACGTTACCACCACCACCACCACCACCTCCTCACACCTTAATGCCACTGATCTGCATAGGGTTATGCAGTATTGCAAAGGTCTTATCGAGTTATACAGCACAGAAAGAGACCCTTCGGTCCAACTCATCCACGCTGACCAGGTTTCCCCAAACTGAACTAATTTGCCTGCATTTGGTCCATATCCCTCTAAACCTTTCCTATACATGTACCTAACCAAATGTCTTTGTCTGACAAGACACAGGAACATCAGTCAATTGAAAGCAGTCGGAGGGTGAGGGTCAATTCAACAATCTACAACCTGCATTCTAATCCCACTCAGTATCAGCTTGACAAATCCACCCAACCTTTCTTTTAAAGCTATAAGTATTTCTGCTCATCTTTAACTTTACCATCCAGTAACTATAAATGCAGATGGTATGTTGCCTTTACGAAGAGCTGGCCAATTACACGCTCAGCAAGTCTCTCAATGAAGAAGGATTCAGAGAAATTACTCCACACCGCAGTAACTACAGGCATATGACACGTCCCACTTACAACTGGGGCTTTGGTTCAGCTGCTTCACACAATGTGTTAAATTTTCCCTGCTCCGTCACGTCTGACCTTTCAGAGACAGGTTAAATCATCACAGACATTTATAAATCATACATTCACCGCAGGGGAGATGTCTCAAGGCTGCCCAGCACCCCGTGTCGTCACTCATTCTCTAACCCAGCAGTCTGTCCAGGATCACTAGTCTACTAGTTAGGAGAATTATCCATTAATATTATCTGATTGCTAAACACCAGAGAAATCCTACTGCTAATCACTTTGAAGTAACTTATTGATTCCACACCCTGTTGTTCAGGGACTCTGTGAACATAAACATTAAACATGCACATTCTTCAATCAAGAAAGGAAACATTCTTCAAACAAGGTGCAAGATATATTATAGGCAATACTGCTAAGAGGCAATGCCTTGTCTATTGCTGCAGAACTATTTACAATCTTTCATTAATGTAACAAGGTGTATCAGACATGGTTATTATGTATTGAAACATTTTTAGCTTACAACTAATTAAGTGCACACTCTTAGAACTAACAGTTTAATCTATTTTTATCCTTCTTGTATATCCTTAAACGACATACACTGTGCAAATCAGTACTTCACAATGATAAGTTAATGTCTACTTAGTTATCTTAAGTGTAATGTTGATAGACAAACTGTTATTTATTCACTCATTGGATATGGGTGTTACTAGCTAAACCAGACTTCATTACCCAACCCCAATTGCCCCTGGAAAATAGCTGCCTTCTTAATCACTGCAATCTTCAGGGACTTTTTGCATACAATGCACAATGCAGCAGCACAGTGATTAGCACTGCTGCCTCACAGCGCCAGGGGCCTGAGTTCGATTCCACAGTCGGGCGACTGTCTGTGTGGATTTTGCATGTTCTCCACATGTTTGCGTGGATTTCCTCTGAATGGTCCGTTTTCCTCCCACAGTCCAAAGATGTTAGGGTGGATTGGCCGTGCTAAAATGCCCATTGTGTCCAAGGATGTGCAGGCTAGTTGCGTTAGCCATGGGAAATGCAGGGTTACAGGGATAGGGTAGGGGGGCAGGTGTGGGTGGGATGCTGTTTAATGAGTCGGTGTGGACTTGATGGGCCAAATGGTCTGTTTTCACACTGTAGGGATTCCATGAATAAAATTGCACACACTGGAAAGTCAAAATAATAATTCAAATTTACCCAAGTAATAAACCCGAGTTAATGAACTCCATTTTTTAAAAACCTCAACACTTATGAAACATAGGACTTTATTTCAATTCATCCCAGAAAAATTCCTAATCAGAAAATGCCAAAATCCATCCACACTCCCATCAAGAAAATTTCGAAAAGAACATATACGTGGGAACACCATGCCCTGCAAGTTCCCCTCCAAGCCACTCACCATCCTGACTTGGAAATATATCGCCGTCACTGGGTCAGAATCCTGAAATTCCCTCCCTAAGGGTATTGTGGGTCAACCTACGGCACATGGACTGCAGCGGTTCAAGAGGGCAGCTCACCCCCATCTTCTCCAGGGCAACTAGGGACTGGCAAGAAATGCTGACCCAGCCAGTGATGCCCATGTCCCACAAGAGATTAAACATTATTTGTTTCTCCTTTGTCTTTGTCCAATATCACTTTATAAAATACACACAAAACCTGCCTTATCTCTCACATGCATAATATATTCACCAGTGAAATGGATTGAGAATTGCATCACAATTATTACAATCTAAAGTGATGGAATTTAATATTTGTGTTCCTCCAAGTATTAAAATACGCCTTATCATGTCTTTATAAATTTAGCCAGAAAGAAAGGATAATTAGAGATCGAGTGAGTAAATTGAGCATAGAAAAGTCTGTGCCATTGGGTTAACATTTTTCAAACTACAGAATTTAGCTGATTTTTAAACAGTTAAATGTATTTACGGGTTAGCTTTCAAAAGGTGCCAGTCTTAAGAGGGTGAGGTTTGGCTCTCTCACAATGTGCAACTTGTTCTAACAGTAACAATGTGCCAAATGAATGATAGCCGTATACTGTACGAGCCTGAGACACAGTTCATACTATCCCATGTTCTAATGCAACCCAGGCCTCAGAATTTTATTAGAAATCCGTTCACTTCAAGCTCATATTGATGGAGTATCAAAACAACACAAAGGAAACTCCTTCATTCCACGAGGTTTGTTTTAACAGGCTCAAGTTTCTATTGCATGAAGCAGCCAGCACTTGGCAGGAAGTCCTGTATGTAGGTAGCAACAGCCTTTGTCAAGTAAGTCATGGTGCCGTAGCTCCCACTTGGAGCACTGTCATAGAACATGTTGCAGACTCTTGTAGCCCCGTCAATCTCTAACAAGGATTCACTTGCACCCAGGGATTTCTGTGAGAGACACAAAGCAGGAAGTTCAACGACAGACCATCACTTTGGCACAGTATTAAATGCCCTGTACAGACGTCTCCCGCCAACTTCAAACCTCCCGCCTTTCCAATGCAACAAAGGCCCTTGTTTTATCTGCATATCGTTGCCTTTTACAAAAACATTTCAACAATTTCTTGCTTATTGCCTTCCCTCACAGCCCAAATTGAGCTTTGTACTTGAACAACAGTTACAAGGATACTGCGAAAAGATGTTCTGTTTACAAGGTTCATTTTTCTAAAAAAAATTTAAGCATATCTATAGGAGGTGGCAGTGTGGCTCAGTGGTTAGCACTGCTGCCTCACTGTGACAGGGACCCGGGTTCGATTCCAGCCTTGGGCAACTCTCAGTGTGGAGTTTGCACGTTCTCCCTGTGCCTGTGTGGGTTTCCTCCAGGTGCTCCGATTTCTTCCCAGAGTCCAAAGATGTGCAGGTTAGGCAGATTGGTCATGGGAAGTTGCTCATAGTGTTCAGGGATAGCTAGTTTAGGCGGGTTAGCTGTGGAAAATGCAGGGTTACAGGGATAAAGTAAGCTCTTTGGAGGGTCAATGTTGACCCGATGGGCCAAATGGCCTGCTTCCACACTGTAGGGATGCTATGATTCTAAGTTGAGGTTGTTCGATCACATTAACTTTGATAGCTTGGAACCAAAGCATTTCTCATTTCCAGAACCTTCTGGGCGATAAAACACGAACCACAAGGGTGTCAATTGGAAAACACCCTCCATCTGAACGTTTTACCAGGAGCACTCATCAAACCTTGAGAAGGCAGAAATAAAAATGGCTTTGCTTATCCACAAACCGTCTACCTTTCCACTCCCACAGGGCTGCACACAGATGATCGGAAGCGACAATGGTTCTGCTCAAACAATGTCTGCAGACCATTGCTGCTTCCAAACTGGAGATTTCTGGGCAATGTTTGCTTCAAACAGCAAAGTCCCTGAACAATTTTACCTGGTCCTGCAGGAAGTAATCATTGGCCAAGTGTACAATGTGATCCACACAGATGATCCCTCCAATACTGTGAACATCCAGATCTGCCAGGACTGTGAGAACTAGGATCGCTTCCACCAAAATCTGTCTGTACTCAGGCTGAGGGACGTGGTTCAGAACAGACTCCACATGAACGGCAAATTTGATCTCCTGGGGTGTCATCTTGAAGAGAACAATATAAACTAAAGGTTAATGTGACTGGTGTATGAATCGCCCAAGGTTAAAGGTGGTGAGCACATTGAAATAGCCAATGGATACATGGCAGCTGGGTTACAGCAGCCTGGTCACACTACAGTGAGCTGACTCCTACCCTAGTGAGGTTTAACATTCAGTACAGAGAAGGCACTGCATTTCAGGTTCATGAGGCTCCAGGAGCTGCTGTACTGCAGTAAAGCAAGGGAAGAAAGGCCGGAGACTGTATGGACACCATTGTTTTGTGCTTCTTCTTCAGGGTCCAGGGCGTAGCCAGAAGAATGGAGAATTGTAAAAGGACGTTACAGTGGACCAAACCTCAACTATAGCGCGATTAATGCAGTGGGAGACAGGAGAACGATAATTTAGAGAAAACTGAAGATTCACACAGACAAGCCCGGGTTGGTGAAAGAGAGGGAATGTACCATTGAAAACATATCATCACATTCCATTGAACCAGAGGGTTTTTAAGCAGCAAGATGACAGAGTGGGAAAGGCAGTTCACAACAGATTATTGATTTGTCACTGACAAAGAGGTTGGGCAGAGGAGGTGCGCGTGCGTGCGTGTATACGTACATGTGTGTGCGCGCGCGCGTATACGTATGTGTGCATATATATGTATGTGTATATACGTATGTGTGTATGTGTACGTGCGTGTGTGTACGTATATGTATGTGTGTGTGTATATGTATATGTATGTGTGTGTGTATATGTATGAGTGTGTAGGTGTATATATATGTACATGTGTGTGTGTGCGTGTACATGTGTGAGTACGTAAATGCGTGTGTGTATATGTATATGTGTGTACATATGTATGTGTGTGTACGTACGTGTGTGTACGTACGTGTGTGTACGTACGTGTGTATCTACGTACGTGTGTACACGTACGTGTGTGTGTGTACATATGTGTGTGTGTGTGTACATGTGTGTGTACGTATGTGTGTATGTGAGAGAGTCTGTGTGTGTGTGAGAGTCTGTGTGTGTGCGTACGTGCGAGCGAGAGTCTGTGCATGTGTGTGAGAGAGAGTGTGTGTGCGCGTGTGTGCGTGTGCGTGTGTGTGTGAGAGAGTCTGTGTGTGTGTGTGAGAGAGAGTCTGTGTGTCTCTGTGTGTGTGTGTCTGTGCGAGAGAGTCTGTGTGTGTGTGTCTGTGTGTGAGAGAGTCTGTGTCTGTGTGTGTGAGAGAGTCTGTGTGTCTGTGTGTGTGTGTGAGAGAGAGTCTGTGTGTGTGTGCGCGCGCGTGTGTGTTTGTGAGAGAGCCTGTGTGTGCAAATGTGTGTGTGTGTGTGTGTGTGTGTTTATGTGTGCATATGTGTATGTATGTATGTGTGTGTGTTTATATGTATACGTGCGAGTGTGAGCGTGTGCGTGTGAGTGAGAGTGAGAGTGTGTGTGAGTGTGCATATATGTGTGTGTGTGTGTATAAATATATATATCGCGCATGCACGCATGGGCGGGGTGTCTACTGGGGGTTTTCAACCCCCATTAATTTGCTCGGAGGTCCAGAAAATCTCACTCTTGTGGGTGAGTGAAGAGGGAATAGGTCAGGGAACTGGGCTAACATTACAAACTACATCTGGTTCACCACTATCTACACAGTTACACTTTTTTGTTTTTCGATTATTAATTTGAGTCAATCACACACAGTCCAACACAAATTGAGAAATAAAGTCACAGAGAGAAAAGTTGAAGGACACAGTGACGAGCTGCTCCAGCCCATTTTTGTCAATATCTTGTTCAGTGAACTGGCAGAATGCAGTGAAATGTTCAGACAAGGACATCTAGTGATCAGTGTCAGTACACAAACATTATTCACTATTCGACCAATTTATATCCCCCAGTCTCCTGACTCCTCGCAGCATGTGTATGAGAGACAGCAAGACTGAAAGTGAGCATGAGTGTGAGAGATAGACAGACAGTGTGAGCATGTGTGTGTGTCTGAGAGAGGGGGCGCAACCCTGTGCGTTTGTGTATGAGTGTGAGAGTGAGGAAGAGAATGTGTGAGAGAGGAAATATGTGGGTCAGAGAGAGTGCGAGTGTGTGCGTGTGAGAGAGAATGCAAGTGGGTGGGTGGGGGTGTGTGTGCGCGCGCACGCGCGTGTATGTGCACATGGATGCAGTAACAATCGATGACGTTTGACACACATAATGTTTGGAGAAAGAAGGGATTGATTCCGCCCTGTCCTAATGTAACTCAGTTTGAACGAATGATGAAACAGCTGAAAGAATAATAGTGGGGAATGTCAACTCATAACATTCACACATCATTCACATTCAAAACCATTTCACTCATGAACTACTGAGACATCAACGAGAATCAACCAGATCCAGGTAGCAAATTGTAATCCTGGCTGGTCAGAACACAACATTTTGATATCAGTCAGGGTTTGACACTGAACTACAAATGGTCCATTATTACAAAATGAATGGGGGTCTGACTGAAATGACCAGCTCTAACGGGGATCTGGGTGGGGGATGGAATTAAACATCGTTCAGACCTACCTCTCTTGTACTTGAAGACGGAAGGACGTAGCCATCAATAGAAAGTCCATGACACTAACCACCCGATTAAGACAAGGGGAGCAAAAAGAAACGTGTTAGCAATTCCAGACAATCTTTTTGACAGAAAATGTGTCAAACAATAAAGTCCCACTTTCAACCTGGCAGAAGTGGAGCTGGATTACTCACTGATCTCTGGAAACATGATCCATTCAAAGTTTAATTTTTGTATTGATCCGGCAATAATATCACGGAATCATACAAAGAATGACTATATTCTGGGCCAACTAGAAATTGTGCTTTTTTTTTGTTTAGTGTTGTTTAACGAGAAATGGCTAATTAATAACCTTGCTGTAATGGAGCCTTTGGGAACTACTGATCATAACATGATAGAAATTTTCATTAGGTTTGAAAACAGTCTGAAGCTGGGGTCTTGGATCTGAAGAATGGAAACCTTGTGGAGTGATCTGGCCTTGGCAGGTTAGGAATCTATACCAAATGGTTTGACCTTAGATGGGCAATGGGTAGTATTTAAAGAAATGCCACATGGTTTACAACTGATAGACATTCCTCAAAGGCACAAACTGCCAAAGGAAAAGAAAATCAATGAAGAGTAACAAAAAAAGTTAAGGGTTGCAACAGATCAAAGGTTCACAAGGAAAGTGGAAAGCCTGAAGATTGGAAACAATTTAGAACAAGTCAAAGGATGGCCAAGGAACTGGAGAGAGAATTTGAATAGGAGCTATGAGAATCATTCAATGAAATGTGTAAAGGCAAAGAACAGAGGGCAGGGAAATGCAGAGAAACTAAACAATTACTTCTCCTTGGGGAAAAAAGTACAGAAAAGCTTCTGGTCCGCAATGCAATGTCTCGGAGTGTGGATGAGGCATGGGCAATCGAAAGGGAGTTGAATAGTCATTCGTAAAACAAAGAAGGGTGAGAAGGAGAATGGACAATGGATGAGGCACTGAGGGACCGAATGGCCTCCGACACAGTTATCATTCTGTGACATGATTGCTGGAATGTGCCATGATCTTCCCTGGTGCACTGATCAATATTTACCCCTCAACTGCCATCACACGAAACGGTCATTACCACTTTACTATCGGGGAGAGCTTGCTGTGTGCAAATTGGCTCCCACATCTCCTGACGACGCCTCAGAAAATAAATGATCTGCTTCTGGCCGTGAGGGGTGAGAGCGAAACCACACCTTTGCACGCTTGGGAGACTCACCTTCTGGAGAACCTTCCAGACTTTTTGGTAGAAGCCCATGGGAACACGGTTAATGGCTCCATCGAGGCGTCGTCTACGTAGCCACTGACCCTGCCGGTCATCCCAGGTCAAACGGGTACAGAAAGAGCCCACAGGGGATGTGGTGGTAGTGGGAGAGGAGGGACCACTGCATCTCTGGAATAGTTAGAGACAGGGAGAAATACAATGTTATGCAGCAAAGATATAGTGTATAACCTTGACAAACTGATGTCATTCTTAGATGGTGGGTGCTTTTGGAGGTTAGCAGTTGAGGGTATTTAATCAGACAGGAGAGTTCTTACCTCTATTCTGATTGAGGGCAGATTCATGTCCGCCTGCTTTCCATCCAGGGGCAAAGACCTCGGAGACCTGTGCTGAGTGCTGCCCCCGTGTGCGCGCGTTTTGGAACTACAACAGCACCGCGCAGTGGCTGGATGGTCACAGTCAGAGGCAGCCCCCCTCTCGCTGAAACCCACTGCCATTCCCTCACACGGTCTGAGAACTGACCGATCGCTCCAAGACATGTCTCCAATCATTCCGTCAGAATCCCATTTCCGCTCCGCGAGTTATCACTGGATGATTCAAAACCCCTCCTGCTTCAGCTAATCTAAAGCTTGCTTCAATCCAAACTTCAGGGTAGCACCCAGGTAGGCATTACATAGACAAATCAAAATTAAAAACAGAGCAGCAGTAGGCCATTCAGCCCTTCGAGGCTGCTCTACCATTCAATATGATCATGGCTGATCATTCAATTTGGTCCCGCGTTTCTGCTCTCTCTCCAATGTGGTATCTACTAGGCCCAGTCTCTGGCCTCTGTGAATGTGAAATTGATGCTAAGTTGGGACTAATTTGACCTTGGGAACAGGCTCTTCAATGTAACAGGCTGCTAGCAACACTGACTTTAACAAATTTAACCAACTGTCCCAGAATCTGCAGGAACCATCGATTCACCTCCAGGCCATTGCTTCCTGTAATGTGGGGGCCATGTGAGAATTTAAGTCTTTGTTTCGTTTTCTACAAATGCTTCCGGTTATTACTTCAAAAGCAAAACTGTTGGAGACGGAGCGGGGGAGAAGACAGAGATTCACCAGGAGCAGTAAGAGCCCAAACCCTGTGTCGAACCCGCCCTGCAGCAGCTGGCTGGCAGCTCCTCCGACCACCAGGAGGCAGTCAACTCACTCCTTTCAGTCTGCTAGCGCTGGGCTTCCGAAAGTCAAGGTTCAGCCCATTGTAAAGGACTCACGAGTGCAAGGGAAATGGCCCAGATACTGTCTCCCCAGCGCAGACTGGAGCTTATACACCTCAGGAACAGCTCCCCCCATCCCTGACAGAATCTCTGACATGGCTGACTCCGTGAGAATCGCCCAGGGAAGTGGAATTTTCCAATGAGCAGCCCCAACCCCATCTGAAAGCCCTTCAAAGGTGCAGAATTCAGAAGGTTCTATCGCACTTTAGTTTAATAGCTACCCAGAATAAATTGGAGGATTGAAAACACGCTCTAGCTCCCGGGTAACATCAGTATTGCTGAAAAAGACACATTTCCTCAAATCTTTCCCCCCTTATACTCATCAGGATAACTTGCAAGAATGCCAATTCTAGTGGAAAACCATCAGGCACATTTCCCCTCCATCCCCTCACCCCCACACGCCCCACCCCCACCCCGAGAACCCACCTGGCACACTATTCCTCCTCTAACCCGCCTGATGCACCATCTGCCCAAGCCTCCTACCACACTAACCCCCTCATCCACCTGGTTCCCACCCCTCACCCACCTGGTACACTGACACCCCC